ACGTATCACTTACAATTTGACTTTCTGTGACATTTTAAAACGGAACAGAGGTAAATCTTCGAAGATTAATCGTTGTTGGAAATAAAAAATACTTTCCGTAAGATCTCTGTTTTTCTCTTTACGAGAAAATCGTCGCATGATCAGTTAACTCGTGTGTGTTTGTCACACCAGTACTGCTGTTTCTTCAAAAGCGTATGCTTCTTTCCTCTTTAATTGACAGGTGTCACACCGTGACAGTTACATTTCAAAAAAATGTTTGAAAATTTGTTCGGAAGCCTTTTAACTACCTTTACAAGTAAAAATGTTTCGGCGAAAGCTTTCTCTTTAATTTGAATAACATTTGTTTTCTTTACAACTCACTCGCTATCAAATTGTTAAGTCCAAGGAGGATATTGCCGTAATTAAAATCGTAATTGTAGCTCTAAATCATTCAGGTTCTTCAAATTAGAGAGAAAACTTTCGCCGAAACGTTTTTATTTGTAAAGGTAGTTTTATTTGTAAAGGTAGTCACTCAAAAAATGTTCGAAAATCATCATATTGATGCACTTGTCGAAAGACGATATCGTGGAAAGGCAGTTACTAACTGCCTTTCCGCGATATTGTCTTTCGACAACTTTTTAAAATTGTAAGTAACTGTAAATAGCCCACTGGTCTGCCTCGTGCCAATGGGGATTTTCAAGCACATAGTTAGTCTACATTATTGTGCAGTCAATCAGCCTTAAGCCCAGCCAAAAGAGTTTTTGTGTCTCAGGGTGTGTAGGACAAGAATAAAGGCCATAACCTGAAGTTTTGTCCATTTCTTGATAGTTTATGAGACTCTCAATACGATCAGTTTATAAAACCAGTATTAGATCTTCGCTTCTGTGTATGTTTTAGGTCCTTATAGTGACGTAATGTAAAAAATTGTACTGTCCGGCAGTGAGCATATAAATCAAAATCTTATTATTATTTTCGACTGATTAACACCACTCGCTTAAATTGTTATTTTCAGAGTAGAATGTTTATGACAGGCCAGAATAACGGCTTGTTCACTTGTCTTCGATGATTATTCTCCGAATAGTAATTATGGGAAGGATGTCCTAGAAGTTTTGCTAACCTCCGTTACCATACAAACAAAAGATCTCGACACGTTCTTGCTTTGACTCTAAGACGGTTCAATGGTAAAAATTTTATCTTACAGTTTTGATCGATTCACACCTCAAGTTTGGTCTTGGAGGCTTTCAATGAGTTAACAATATTTTGCATAATGTCATGTGGAGTCGAAGGTTATGGTTAAGAGGATAACCGCCGTTACCTTTGTATCTCTGGTGAACAACACAGCTATAGGCTCAGTTGTTTATATCATAATGATAACTCCAATTGCTGTTGTTCCAAAAAATTCATTTCTTTTGAAAGATTATTTTGCGAAATATTGAGTTGGAAGAATCAAAATTATAACCTCCGTTACCGAGCGTTACCAATAACCTCCGTTACCAAGTATCGAAAATATGTTCAGATTATATAAACACCTCATCGTTCCTACATAAATAGAATAGTTTTAAAGTGACATCACACATTGGACGCTATACGATAGCTTTTTGCATTGAGAAATGTCTATTTCTGTCAGCGCCGCTCTCCACAAGGCACACGTGGCATCGAAGCAGCTCTTTCTGGTCATTTCTTAAGCTCCAGTTGACGTTTTTCGACATGATTACGAAGGTAAATACACTGTCTTTACTTCATAAAAAAGCAGCCTTTACCAAAGGACTCCACGACAGATATTTTCTTCTATGATATCAAAGTAACGAAAATAGTAACGGTGGTCATTTCTGAAGGTATCCTAAATGTCACGTTATCAATCGAGTATCGTGAAGTGGGGCAATGTTCAGGGCAAGGAAATGATTCGAAGAGCTCAACTGATACTGATTACTTAGATTTCTTCCTTTTAAAGTATTTACCAATCCATAGGTTAGCTGATTTTCACAAATTGATACAAGTTCTCTGCTTCTAGACAAATGGCACCCAAAACACGCGCCGAAACTCAAAGAGATTATCGAGAGAGGACAAAACAAGAAGGAGGTGTGCCAAAGAAGCCAAGTAAAACGAGAAGTGAGATTCAACGGAACTACAGAGAACGTAAGAAGTTAGAAGATGACAAAACGTATCTGGAACGGGAAAGAGATAGAAAAAGGAAAGCCTACATTCCCAGTGCTCTTCTTACTGAAAGTGAAAAAGTCAAGCGGAGTAAATTAAACAGGGAAAAGGTGAAGCGCTTCAGAGAAAGAAGAACACAAAGCAAACTACCTCAAACTTCGACAAGAGATGCGAACCAACCCAAAAAAGTGATTGTGAAGATGGATTTCAAAGCGAAAAAAACGGCTGCAGCCGCTCGGACAAAACGCATAAGTAGAGGGGTAGCCAAGGCGCACAAAAAAAAATAAAAGCCTCAAGGAGAAGAACGTTCAACTGCAACGGAAAACTTGGACTCTAACAAAGCAACTGCAGCGAAAGTCTAAGATGACAGAGAAACTAAAAGCCACTACTCAAGAAAAGTCCCCAAAACACCACGAACCAAAGCAAACTCAACACTGAGGAAGGCAGGAATGAGCCCGCGAATAGTGCCGCACATAATTCGAAAGCAACTGGTTTTTGCTCAAGCCGTTTCAAGCAGGCTTCGCAAAAAGGACCACAAAAGAGTAATACACGGCGCGGGCTTACAGCCAGTGCTGTATCTGGTGCGGGATTCCTGAAGAGATACCGTTGTCTTCCCCTCGTAAACTAAGTTGACCGGGATCAGCAGAAATTTGCTGTCCAAGATGAATGGAAAGCTGTCTTATTCCGCATCGAGAAGACGTCTTCCAGAAAAATCAAAGAAACTGACTGACGCCATCGTTGCATTTTTAGAGAGGGGAGACAACTCTCGCGTTATGCCGGGGAAAGATGACTTTGTAAATTGTAATGGCGAAAAGGTCCAGAAGCATTACCTCAATGATTATATCCATTTCCTTCATGCCAAGTTTAGAACAGAAAATCCCGATATAAGGGTTGGCAAAACAGCCTTTGCCCAGAGAAGGCCGAAATATATCGTACCCGCATCGTTTAGCTCGCGCCATACGTGTTTGTGCCTCCTATCCCTTGTGGAAAATCTCAGCGACAGTACAAGCTGAATGGGGACAATGTGTCGATGATTGAAAGCCTGTTTACTCGCCACCAGGCAAATACTCCCTAATGGTTTTGTTTTTGGTTCGTGATTGACTTATGCAGCCAAATTGGCTTTACAGCAACACAGATATGAGGGTCACTATCGAGTAACCTCCTGGTTACCATTAACGTTACCAGTTTCTCGATACGCTATGTGGACAGAGTGATGATGTAATCATTTCTCTTCGGTGCGATAATTTTAATTAATCCTTTTTAAGCGGAAACGCAAAATTTACGAAAAGCATGGTTCGATCACTCTTTTTCAAGAGAGAGGTTTGATTTTATACATGCTGTAAACAAACGAAATTCATATCAAACGGCAAGTTTTTTTAACACTTACCACTATGTAATCAGTTCAATTTTGGTATAGTATTTTAAATAAGCATGATAGCTGTAATAAGTTTTAGACTTAATATTGGTTTGAGTGTTTCAGTGTTTTCATTCTTATAACAAATACTTGTTAGAGCAAGTGGTAACCTCCGTTACTTTTTCCGTTCAAATTTTTAAAAGAAATGTATGTTTGAAGTTCATTTATATGTGGAACCTGACTTTATTTAAATGTATTTTGAAGGTTTATGCTATCCTCTGTAGTATATGTAAGATTCTAAAGTTTCCAAGAGCAATTTTTGTCTCAAATTTGTGCAGAGCATGAGATCTTAAATGAATTAAAATCGTAAAGATCTTTAACATTTTTGGTACTAAAATGTACAGAAACGTCATGAAAATGCATTTTAGTACAATAAAGTATCATTATTTACATGGTATCGAAGTCTTGTAAACTTTTATACAAGAGACGCCTTAAAATTGGTTGATGTTTCTTGTGTCTGGACCTTTGCAGTAAAATTGTCGCATCTTTTGAAGACTAACGTGCTGCATGACAGAACTTTTAGAATATCACCCTGATATAATACAAAACTCGAAAACACATCATCTGTGGTCTTCTGAGCAATATGATTTTTCGTCGTTTTCCTATTGCTAATGGCCCGCTTTGAGGCTGATTGGCTGTGTGGCTGAAAAGCCCCTATGAGGAGCTTCAATTGACGTATTTATTACTTTAAATTACTTATAAAGAGAATTTTCAAGTGAATTAATATTCAAGAGTTTTCAGCTTCTTTGCTTGGATTGTAGTCAAAGTTTTACCTTCAGCTTAAGATCGTGTCCTTCTGAGAAAGTTCCAATTTTCTTGCTTCGACGTCTATTACATGTGTGATGACTTGAATACAATTGGTTTAAGATGGAAATTTTTTGTCTAGCATTTAACATATTAACTTACTGAACTCAATACCGTTCTGTCTCTGTTTGTTTCAAGTTAGAATTTGCACTCGATTCCGGGGTTGATACACGCGCATGCGATAAGCACCAAACCAATATAGGATCTTTTCTTTCTTTCCCATTCTCTGAGGAGTTCTTATATCGAAGCGGTAAGCTGAAATCATTACGTGAAGAAATTACCTAACTATTATTCGATCGTACCCTTAAGAATAACATCGGTTTGGGCAACGAGCACATGACAATTGAAAGAAACAAGAAAAGTAAAAAACTAGCGCTAGGTTTCGCTTTGTATCACAACTACGAGTTAACATAATCAGAAAATAAATTGTTGGTTACCAACGTTCGCAGGTCTTGACTACTTTATCGAGGATTACGGTCTAACTTGTCTTCTATTTAGAAACGATCTTGATTACACGAGGTCTTATCCTGAACTGAAACGCTCACCATAATTTTTTGTCCAAAA